AGCCAGTAACACTAAATAAATTTTTGACCTCTTACATGTTGATCTGTGGGGACTCTATCATGTCCCCATACATGACAATTACAAGTACTTCTTAACCATTATAGATGATCATAGCAGGTCTACATGGACTCACATTTTGTCTAGTAAAAGCAATTCCCTCCAGATACTTAAAGCCTTCATATCTTTTGTCAAAACTCAGTTTCACTTGACCATTAAATCAGTAAGATCATATAATGATTTAGAGTTCACCAGTACAGAAGCAAACTCTTTCTTTCAGACCCAAGGCATTATTCATCAGAGAACTTGTCCATACACACCACAACAAAATGGTGTAGTTGAGAGAAAATATAGATACCTTCTAAGACAGCCAGAGCACTTTTATTTCAATCAAAGTTACATATAAGGTACTGGGGTGAATATATCCTGACAGCTACATACCTTATTAACAGACTACCTACCACATACCTCAAGAACAAATGTCCCTTTGAACTCCTATACAAAAGGAAACCAAATTACTCCCATTTGAGAAGCTTTGGGTGTCTATGTTTCCCCACTATACCAAAGATACATAGGGACAAATTTTATCCAAGAACTATGCCTCGTGTCTTTATTGGATATCCTTTTGAAACTAAAGGATACAAAGTACTGAACTTGCAGACCAGGAAGATTCACATATCCAGAGATGTAACCTTCCATGAAAATGTGTTTCCATTTGTTGTGTCACATGTTAAGGTTCTTCTTTTCCAACTCTACCACATTTCATTTCTGATCTACACACTACTATATCTCAACCTACAACAGGCAATCCACCAAGCCCAGACAACTCTGAAGCAGGACATGATCACTCTTTATCTTATCACTCTCCACCTGATCACTTTGCTCCTATTTTTCCGGAGTTACACTCTCACTCTACTGAAATCCTCCCACAGAATCCTTTTGATCCCACTTCACAAAGTGAGTTTCTTGTCCTAGAGCCTAGAAGGTCTGGTAGAGAACACAAATTACCTGCACACTTGCAGGATTACATCTATTCTATACCTCAATTGAAGCCAACTTTTATTCCTTTGTCTATTGATCCGTCAACCACTCCAACTTCCCTTGATGCCTTATTCTCCTTACATAGTCATGTTCCTACTAATTCTTTAATCCATAATAGTCAGTTGCTTGTTATGAATATTTTCAATGATTCTGAACCATCTTCAAATGAGGAAGTTGCTCTTAATCCTGCCTGGCAAGCAGCAATAACACAGGAGTTTGAAGCCCTACATGTTAATCATACCTGGGATATAATGCCCTTACTAAGTGGGAAACATGTAATTGGCTGTAGGTGGGTATACAAGATTAAACACAAAGCTGATAGAACAATAGAGAGGTTCAACACTAGGTTGGTAGTAAAAGAGTATACCCAGCAGCCTGGCATAGATTACACAGAACCTTCAGTCCTGTAGTGAAAATGACAATAGTGAGAGTTCTCATAGGTAAAGCATTGAAGAAGCAGTGGCATATCTTTTAGTTGGATGTGAACAATGCATTCCTTCATGGAGACATGCATGAGGAAGTCTATATGCAAATACCACCAGGATTGAAAGGTTTAGTTTGTAAGTTGAACAAATCCTTATATGGCCTCAAATAGGCAAATCAGACAATGGTACTCTAAGTTGACTGAGGCCCTTTGCTCAAGGGGTTATGTGTGTTCTCTCATTGACTACTCACTTTTCTAAAAGAAAACAGAATATTCTACCATCTATATAGTAGTATATGTAGATGATGTTATCATCATTGGGACATACATCTTAGAAATTACTCAAGTCAAATGCTTTTTACATGATCAATTTAAGATAAAAGACCTAGGGAAGCTACACTATTTTCTTGGTTTGGAGGTTCTTTACACAAGTGATGGGGAGATAATATCTCAAAGGAAGTTTGCACTAGACTTACTCAAAGAATATGATTGTCTTTCTTATAGCATCCTGTCTACTCCTCTTGATTCAAATGAAAAACTAAGAGACCAGGAAGGAGAAGCATTGCCAAACCCTACTTATTACAGAAAATTGGTAGGAAAATTAAATTTCCTCACCAATACCAGACTGGACATAGCCTTCAGTGTACAGCACCTCAGCCAATTCATGCAAGACCCCAGGAAGCCACATTTGAAAGCAGCTTTTCGCTTGCTTAGGTACCTGAAGAGTGATCCAACTCTAGGAATCTTTCTATCTAATGACTATGGTTGCAGCCTGAAGGGTTATTATGACTCAGACTGGGCTGCTTGTCCAGATTCTAGAAGGTCAGTTACTGGCTACATAGTCCTGCTGGGCAATAATCCAATTTGTTAGAAGTCCAAGAAACAAGAAACAGTGTCCCTATCTTCAGCAGAATACAGATCCTTGAGGAAAATTATTGGTGAACTAACTTGGTTATGCAGACTATTTGATGAACTCACTATTTCCTATCCTAAGCATGTTTCAGTGTTTTGTGATAGTCAATCTGCTTTACACATAGCTCGTAATCTTGTTTTTCATGAACGAACAAAGCATGTCGAGGTTGATTGCCATTTTGTGCGAGATAAGCTCCAAGAAAGATTGATTTCTCTTCATCATATTGATACTGGTGCTCTGTTAGCAGATGTCCTTACTAAAGCTCTTATTGGTGTCAAGCACTCTACGATATTGAGCATGTTGGGTGTGAAAACCTCACCTCCAACTTTGGGGGGGGGGGTATTGAATTGAGATAACTATGTATATTTAGTTTTCCCTCTCCGTATGTTTTGTAGAGTTTAGCTAGCTTATTTTGTTAATCATAGTTAGTTGGTAGTTAACTATGGCCTAGCTGTCAAGGTAATTAGAATTAGTTAGTGGAGTGGTACCCACGTATGTGTGTGCATATATACATATACTGTTAGATATTAGAAATAAATAACTTTCATTCTCTCATACTTGTAAATTAAATCTTCCTCCTCAGGTCATGCGGAGCTTCTAGAGCTCATCAATGGAGTTTTTGATCAACGGTGAAATTCGATATCTCAAATATACAAGTTGATAATTTTCATGGCCAAACACTGACTATGAAAAAAGTGAACTTTTTTTTTGGCCAAACGGGCCCTACGTTGGCTTTAGTGGATTATCACATTCCTTGGTGCTCTTGTTTATGCAGAAACCTAATGTCATTAAAAATGTTGAAGGGTCTAACATAACTATAATTCTGAATATTCTTTTATTATCTTAACTGATTACGTACATTCAACTATTAATATCATACGATTAATTAAGAATTTTTTGCAAATTCAACAGATTTTAGTTGTAACATATACAAGTGTAACGTAACCATTAGCTGTGATTCTACTTCTTGTTGGTAGATTTATTTAGTCGAATATCGTCAAGATTAAAATTATAATATAGTATCAATTACTGAGGGATGACGACTATCCTTTTGCTTTAGAAAACACTACTGTAATAGCAGCCAATAACCAAAGTAGTTGATGTGCTGGTGTGGGCCGGGAGGGTCACTACTTCCTACTTCTAAAAATATAGGATCTAAATACTGCTAAAAATATAGGGTCAAATTTATTCAAGCAAGATTGGCAATCATCCCAAATTAAAGAGATTATAAATCCAAACTGACTAGCGCGTTTCGAATCTGACGGCCTGCTTCTCATCAAATTTATAAAGTTACAGATTCATGTGTCAGAATCTTATTCACATGCTGAAGCGGTTTACCTATGCACTCATAGCAAGAGTGGCAAGAATGCCAAAGGCCTCATTTGTTTTTTTTTTAAGATTAACACGTCTAAATCTGAATACACATCTTTATATCAAAATATGCAGTAAGATTAAGATATTTGAATGTGAATACATATTTAAATATTAAAATGTGTATCAAGATTTGAATACTAAATGATTGAGATTGTTTTAAATGTATAAAATTTATCTTTATTTGAAAATTAATAAACACAAAATTCAAATAAAAAATGCTAATTAATCTAATATTCTATCAATAATATATATATTAAAAATATGGTAGTTAGTGGTGGTGATGGCTAATAATGGTGCTTGGGAATGCCGCGCGGTGGTTGGTGGCGATTTTGGTTGGTAGCGATTGTCCTAAGTAGTAGCTAGTGGTGATTGATAGTGATAGGAATTATGGTTGAGGATGGTAGTGGTGGGTGGTTATTAGGGGTGTTCAAACCGAACCGAAAAACCAAACCAAACTGATTAAAAAACCCGACTAGGTTTAGTTTGATTTGGTTTGGTATTGAGTAAAAAACCCGAACCAAACCGACATATAAATATATAAATTTTATTTATATTTTTAAGACTTTATAGTGAATTTTCTTTAGAAAATATAGAAATATTTGGGATCCTCTCATGTATTAACCTTGAGAGCGTAAATTAACAAAAAATTATTGTTAATCGACTACGAAAATAACTATTATGTATTACTAAAAAAAGTACCCATTAGAATATTTTAATAGATCATATGTTTGTCAATTTTTTTCCATATTTACTAAACATATATTCACTTATCAAAGCTTTATCTATAATTTTAACAAGGTAAGATTGAAATAATATTCATGTAACAAAAAAACCCGAAAAACCTGACAAAACCGAACCAATCCAAACCGATATAGTTAGTTTGATTTGGTTTGGTTTTGATAAAAACCGAACCAACCTGGTCCATGTACACCCCTAGTGGTTATAATTAATAATGGTGGATGGTGGTGGCGGTTGTGGCTGTGATTGAGGAAGGTGGTGGTAGTTTATAATGGTGGGCGGTCCCGGCTATGGTTGTTGATGGTGATAGGGTGGTTAGTTGTCGTAGTTGAGGTGGATGAGTTTGTGGTTGTGGTTAAGAATGATGATGGTAGGGTAGTAGGGATGGTGGGTGGTGGTTGTAAATAATGGCGGCTATGATTGAGTATGGTAGTAGTAGGTGGCATGATGATAGTTGATAATGATAGGTATTGGTGACAATTAATAATGAATGTGGATGATAACATCTTAATGAAATTAAATTTTTATTATAGATCTTAATTAAGATTCAGACTTTAAAAACAAACGCACTTAATATCTGAGATCTGAATGATTAAAATTCAGAGCTCGATTAAGTGCAAACAAACGAGGACTACGCTGACCAAAAACCGGAAAATACGTATCCAGTTCAAGTAGTTCTAAGATCTCCTGGGTAGCCCATAGATACGACGAATGGCCCTCGATGAATTCAGTTACATCAACCTGTTAAAAGCAATGAGGCACCAAAGAAATTGTACTTCAACTAAATGGAGACAACTGGAATATAGAAAACAGAAATTGGGAACATAAAAACTTACATTTTCAACACCAGGAACCTCAACTGGTTGAATACCAGCCAAGCCTTGAGTAAGGAGACTGTAGAAGAAATTACAGAAGTCACAATAAAGAGAAGCGAAAACGACACATCAAACATGAAAGCAGATATAGGGGAATCCCTGAAACCGTCAAATACATTGAAAGCAGATACGGGGTTTCGTGTAGACAGGTGAAATATGTTGCAGCTGCAGCAGTTAACATTTTCAACATCAGTACTATGCTAGCGGATAATGCATACCTGGCACGAAAGGCAACTCCAAGCATCCAATCGTTTGTAGAGTAAGCATTCACAAATCTACCAGCTACCACCTGCAAAACAAGAACAGAGAGCTTCGCATGTAATGAGGTTGAAGCCCTATACTAGTAAGGAAACAAAACAACAACAACAACCACTCAGTAGAATCCCACTAGTGAAGTTTGGGAAGGGTAGAATGTACGTAGACCTTACCCCTACCCCGAAGGGATAGAGAGGCTGTTTCCGGGAGACCCTCGGCTCAGAGACACTAGTAAGGAAAGAAAATATAAAGAAAAAGATGGGAGGGAAGGGGGAGGCCCAAGATTTATTAATTAAAAGTAGTTAAAATCAAGAAAAGCACGACAATGAAAACCTTTCTAGCTGCTTCCCAGTTCATATCTTTAATTGCAATGGGTGCCCCAAGAAGAACAACCCTTTCCACTAGTCCAGCTGCCAAAATTTAGAAAGTACTTCAGGATCACAGGAAGCAACTCAACAATCGGTAAATCAAATTACTACATCTCAGCTCGAATTAGTTGTTGTCTAAGAAAGCAAATGATCAATCTAAAAAGTAAAATAAAAACGAACACTTACAATTATTTTCAGTCTCAGCCAGAATCTGGAGACATTTAAAAATAACTCTTGCCCCTAGTGAAAATCCTACAAGTGTCACAGGCCTGAAACATTCATGGACAACCAATAATGGAATTGTCTTACACGTAAACCCAAACTTTCAGGACAATCAATTGGAATTTTCTCCAAATTATATTTAAAGCTTGTATACCTGTGCCCTTGTAATCCTTTTTTCAACACTTCTGCCAGGAGTACTCCTGCTTTATCAGATCTGCAAATGCAAATTCAGAGTTTTTTTTTCCAATCAAAGAAATATGATACTCCGCTTTCGACACAAAATGGTTTAGTATAACTGCTCGATGATTTAAGCAATAGGATTCTGGAGCATAATCAGCACCACTGGAGAAGGGAAAGAAAGGAGAGACTAGAAATGCTAGTGATACAAAACTTAAAATGCAAATACGGGAAAACAGTTTGGATTCTTTCTTTGGATTTTCTCATCCTTACAATTAATTTACCACCTTCCCTTATTACAGATGAACCTTATGATTGCAGAGAAAATGAAAGGAAAACAACTCCAAAACTTCCTCCTTCCTGATCCACATCCCACAACAGAAAAGAACGTGCAATGAAAAATAAGCAGATAAACAGAAACCTGTCCACAGCAATTGACCATGTGCTGTCTATAAAATCAGTAATAGTAAGTAAAGCTGCAGGCCAAGCCAATGCTGTTAAAAGAGTGTGTAGTACAGTCATCATAGCGCCTTGCTTCATCAACTCCAATGCAATTCCTGTAATTTAGTCATGTTGTCTATATCACACACTAATAATACAATTGTATATGGTCAGTGTATTACATCACCTGAAAGTAAAGTATAAAATTATTTACTTGACGTCAGCCAGTCCTGAATCGCAGTGCTTACAGCAATAAGATTCTTAGATTCCCACTGCAATATATACCTGACAAAATTGTGAAATGTAAAGACAATTTATTCTTTTCGCATTATACTCCTTGTACTAAAGATATGGGAAATGATTGGGTTGTTCTTATAAACACAGGTAAGAAATGTTAAATAAAGTTCATTGTTAACTTGGTAGTATTTCACCAATACAAAAATAAACTGAGAAAAAAAAAATAAAGAATGACGTTTTACCTCTCAGAATTATCATATTGACCTTCCCAAGGTCTTAAAAAATCTTCCTCCTCAAAAACAAGACCCGAGATCAAGATCTGAACTGCCAGACGCTGAGAGGATGATATGCAGAGTAAGAACAAATAACAAGGAGCATTTATGGTCCATAAGTGAAAATATAATTCGTGGTAACTATGAGAATAAAGATGAAAGGATAGAAAGAAACAATAAAACAGCACGCCTACATACCCAGTGGAACAATACATGCTAAGAAGACAATATCAAGTATGAAAAAAGAGAGCTCATTGACTTACCCCCTGGTTGTGGTTTTCCCCTATAGCCTTGAACTCAAATTCATCGACATCTCCAATTCTCCTGGCCATTTTAGTTCCTGTAAGTCCAGCTCCAGCAGCTGGGTAATCAAAAGTATCAGTACAACATTAAATAACCGTAGAATCCACTTAAAGATGTTCACACTCCAACGCCAGTCTCAATTTTATGGGTTAGCCTTGCATTATCTGTCTCCATTATCATGCCATAAAAAGGAGATTCAACCAAAGAATGTTAAAAACTTATACACACACACATATCCTGCAAAACATGTGTTAACCTCCAAATGATGCCGCAACTGCAACAGATCCCGCAACACTTCCTGCAGCAGTAGCAACAGCAGCGAACCCACTTGCTCCAATCACAGGAATAAGAGTCCCCAAGGTAGGGGCTAAAGCACCAAAGCCAGCAGCTATTGCTGGAGCAGCCAAACCTGATTGATAATAAAACAAATTTTGTTCTCTAAGACAGTTGTTCATTGAACATAGTAGAACCTCTCTATGAATCAAACAAACTGAAAGAACAGAGAATTCTGTTTCCTTGGAGGTTCGTTAGATTATAACTGGAGCTGCTAAAAATTAAGTAAAACTGCAATGTCATACCACCAGTAATTGCCATTAAAGTTCCACCAGTCAATGCAGCAGCACCTATAATACCTCCTCGTTTCCACTTAGCCCATGAACTATCAGGAGATTGGCTTTCCTCCTTCGATTCTTCCTCTTTCAGCAAAGCCATCGCTGAACAAGCAACCATGGTCTCAATGGCTTCCTGCAGCACATAAATTCTTTTGATATCTGTGAAGTATATGGATGTTCATGCCTAAAATAAATAGCAACTTGGGACAAACGTAAATTCTACACCACTTCAACGTGTTCTCTCATATGAAATAGGTGCTACCCTAATTTTAATGAAGAAGAACTGCTTGTTAAAATCAGAAGAAAGTATTTTAAACTAATGCATCTACATTCTCTTCAAAAAAATTGTTGACATCAAAGTAAAGAACCAAAAGCACAATAAGATTCAGACTCTCGTCCTTTTAAAGGAAAACAAAAACATATAACCAGCCATGCACATTCCCCCCATCGAATTATCGCACTTACATAAAATGTTATGTCTGTAGTATCTTGCTAAAAGAAGGACCTCATCGCCATTTTGGAATTATTTTTATAGCCATATCAAGGTAGTAGAAGATCCTCAAGAATTCTATGGCATAATGAAATAAGAACTTCTGGATTCGTATTAAAAATACATGCAAATACATGCATTAGAGCACATAAAAATTACACAAATGTGCCCTTTATTGTAATAACTTGATCATTATCCATCTCTTACCTGCTATCTCTAATTTCTTATAATAAAGTTTGTAATACTAATTTTAAAAATATAAGAAAGTGTCTAAAAGGATTTTCTTTTGTTTACAAAAGGAATTCAAGATTTATTCATTCACTTATTTTATGATGTAGCATTCACATTTTAACTTTCCTCTAAAATTTGTTGTTTATTTGATATAATCAGAAATAAATAATTAAGGAGTATAATTTGATGATGATTTTAATTTCTCAAGCTCATATTACTGCTTAGAGCTCTCCACATTTGGGCAGCTAATGGAATGCTCTCCACATCTCTTCCTCAGGAGAGCAGGCATTCAAACAACTTCATTATTGCAGAGTGATATACAAAAAGTCTAGAAAGATTCTTTCTGCTATAAATCTAGCATGTTCCTAATAGGATATGCAATTAATATATCAGTCACTTTAGAAGAGATAGCACAGAAAGAAACGAAGCACATAATGGAAATTTATGCATCATTTAAATGAATGTACCATTTTGATCCATTTGACATTAAGCCAAGTCGTTAGCAACCGTAAAGCCACACGATGTCGAGCATCATAACCATTCCTTCTTCGAGTAGATTGCTTACCATCTTCAGGTACTTGTGCGAGACAAGCTGAAAGAAGCTCATAGAGAATGGTCACTTTCCTAGAGTACCCAAGCATTGATACCTCTTCGACAGGTTTTTCATCGGAGCCACTAACAGCCTCCAAATGAGCACCAGCAATGCTAGATGGTTTCTGGCTTTTCTCTTGGTAATTTTTAACATTCGTTTTTTCCACGTCAGATGTGGACTTCACATCAGCAATCGATAACTTCTCCCGACATTCATGCTTATATTCACGCCTCTTCTCCTTCTCAGACTCATTATCAGAAGTTCTCTCCATGCTTGACACCATAGCATCTACCCCATTTGCCAAAGCAAGTTCCATGTCTGCTGCTTCTGAAGAATCATCACTACTTTCTTCAGACAGTAACCTTAGAAACTGATGTAATATCAGTAATCATGTCGTCAAGAAAGTAACAATAAAGATAATAACTTTAACTACCTAATTAGTATCAGCTGCTGATATAAAAAAGCAATGTGGTTCCCTTTCCATTTGAATAAGCAACAGTGGTAATTAACAGATCTCTCTCTAAAAACTACAGCAGACCTTAATTTAATGCCATTTTCTAATAAATGTAGAAACTTGTCCTGGACATGAACATAACTGTAGTACTCTTCTACAACTTGAAGAGACAAGAAAACTAACCGCTCCAACATGATGCTTTGGTGGTGTAGACGCAGCAGTTTCCTCTAGTCCTGACCATGCCTTTTCGTCAATCTCTAGAAATCTATTCACAATAAATTCAACACGCAGCCCAAATTAGTAATTTACAAATAAGACATTGTGCACTAGCATTAGTGGTCGATTGCTGGCTTAAAATTTTCGAAAAAAGAGCAGGTGGCAGAAATTAACCCCAAGAATATAGCAAACGCTTCATATTCAAAGTATGGTATGCTTTCATTAGTTAGTCAGCAGTAAATACTCATTTTGCCCCAATTTTATATGATACTTTTTCCTTTTTAAGACGCCCCAAATTTTTTACACCATTCAAAAACTAAATATAATTATGCTATTCAAACTTTAAACTTTGAGAGGAGCCTTGGCGCAACAATAAAATTTGCCGCTCTGAAGCCAGGTGGTCACCTATGTTGCGCGGACTCTCCAAAATGATGTCGCACCCGTGTTGGATCCTCCAAAAATACATTATTTTTGGAGGATCCGACACGCACCCGGCAACATTTTCGGAGAGTCCGAGCAACATAAGTGGTCAAAAATTCAAGCAAACAGTCTCTTCTAAAAATGCAAGGTAAGACTGCGTACATTAGATCCAATATGATCCAACCCTTCCCAGACCTGTGCATAGCGGAAGCTTAGTGCTCCAAGCTGCCTTTTTATATGTTATTTTCTTTATGGAACTAACTTCTCAATATTTCTTCCACCAATAAAATTATAAATTAGTCACAATTAACCTTTAAATTCTCTATCCAGTCAAAAACCGTTATATAACATCAATCGATCAAGTCATTGAAGATAACTAGCATTGCACAGTAACCTAGCATAAATGATAAGTAACTATTATAACATGTTAAATTGCAGTGATAGTGTAAAAAGTTCATTATACTACAATAATTTAACTTGTTATATCAAGTTACTTATCATTTACTCTAGGTTATCAATCAATGCTATTAAATAGAGTTACCTTCAAGTACCTATTAAGTGACCTGATTCTGTAAATAATTTTTACGCCATTAGTAATAAAATTTAAACTCTAACTTAAATCCATATCAAATTTTCATATTTATTATCTGGCAAATAAACATTGAAATGAAATGATTAAAAAAAATTAGCAAGCAGAAGGAATGAGTAACTTGAAAATGGGCCGAAGGAGAGCGGAAGATTCGTGGACCCAAAGGTGAGGGTCGTCGGAGACGGAATCGCTACTGCTGCCATTGCTACTACGTTCCTCCGATAAAGAATCGTCGGGCGGAAAGCCCAATGGACAAGTTTGGTGAATCTGGGCCTGGTGAAGGCTCAGCCCGAATAAAGCTCCGGCCGCATATTTGTGTGTTGGCGTCAATATCGAAGGCGACATGATTTTGAACAAAGCTCGTCAGTGATTAGTGAAATTGTGAAGTTTTTTGAATTTGATCGAAGATGATTGAATCAATTTTTCAGTTTTTCAAGTTTCGTAATTTGATGTTTCACCGTTTTGTTTCCTAATTTGTCAATTCTCGTTCATTAGTTTGGGCGGTCATATTGTATATTGTTGAATTTGGAAGGAACCGGCGAATGGCCAAAGTAAACGACGTACGTTATTAGTGACTATATATTTCTAGGAGTCCAAAACGCGTTTGATGTTTTTTTTTTTTTGGGACAAAAATCACTTTTATACTGCTTAAAAAAATTACATAAATGAGTAAAACGCAGTACTATACTGCAAACTATGTTAACGAAAATTAGTCCGTTAAAGTAAAACGCAGTACCATACTGCGTTTTACTTTTTTTTTATTTTATTTTTTTGTAATTCGCAGTATAATACTGCATTTTATAAAGCTGTTCGCAGTATTATACTACGTTTTACTCTGGTTTTTGGCTCACCAATAATGAACTGACATAACAATAATTCAATACATAAAACGTAGTATTGTACTGCGTTTTACATTCGGACTTGCCTTATTTAAAGGCGTTTCAATTTTATGAAAATTCATTCAATCTTCAAACTTACGTTCATACTTCTCTCTTCTTCTTATCAATCATTTTTTTACAATGTCCGAAGTGGCAAAAATAAGGGTTTCACTATATTGGGGGGTGAGGTTGTATTGGAGAATAACTTTGTGAGGTATAGCTCACCTCCACAATGTCATGTTAAATTGCCGCTTACTATGGAGTACGATAAATTGGTATCGTTGTTACGTAAAAAAATGAATGAGAGGTGGCGTTCGGTTAACCTTAAAATAACCGGTAGATTTTTGTATTCAGTGACTCCGCATGGGTTTGCTTATTATTCTGAGTTTAACATCGAGGATGATGAAACTCTTAGAGATTCTTTTCACCACCGTCCCAACAATTTTGCATCGAGCATTCTTTTCCACAGTTGCACTTTGGTGGACGAAGAGGTTGAGCCATTTAATGAAATATTTGCTTTTAATAAAAAAAAAACCTTACTTTTAATGAAATATTTGCTTTTACTAATTTTTGAGCACACAAAATAGCTGCAATGATGCTGTTATTTATAGGCGAAAAATTTAATACATAAAGCGTGGTATAGTACTGCGTTTTATGGAGTTGTCTTGTCGTTCTGAAAAAGATGAAAACCATGTGAAAAAAGCTGGTTTATTGCAGAAAAATTTAATACATAAAGCGTGGTATAGTACTG